ATTGACTAGATTTTTTTACAAATAACACCCTGTTCCTCCTTAAATTTGACTTATGTTTGTATGACGTCGATAGGCAGAAGACGCTGACTCTTCTTGGACACATGATCATATTCTCCTTGTACTTTTACAAGAGTTACCTAGTATTTTTATTTACTCATAGCTTATTCACTTCTGTGCTCTCTCATGTTCTCATCAAGAAGAAGTTGTCCTTTGTGGGTGTTGTATATATACTTTATATGTCCTTTATATTCATGGAAACCAGATTCGAGCTGCAAATTCGAGTTGAAGAAACTGTTCCCCAATTAAGATAAGACATTTTTGTCCAGCTGTTTAATAGACTGTAAATCATATTACATGGACACCATCGAGGTACACCAGGTGAATAAGACCAGGAGTTGTATTCATAGCACTTTTCTATGCTCAAGCATGCGTCAAACCAATTTTCTTATAACTTTAATCATGTGACATGGTAAAACAAAGTCAAGTCTAGACAATGAAAACGAAAATAAGATAAAATGTTACAACCAAAATAAGAATATGGGCTGGAGCAGAATCCCAGCTTAATCATGATAATGCTGTTACATGTCCAAATGCTCCGGAGGATAGGATTGTCTGCTTCATCGAGGACAACCGCAACATTACTTCAGGTCAAAATCAAGTAATGTAACGTTCTCATTAAACGAATCGAGGTAGTGACAACAAAACAACATGGCACCCCTTTGACAATAATCTAAAACATCGATCTTCATATCATGCAAAAAAAAAATCCAAATCAGATCAGGCATTTGCATTTAATGACATAAACATTTGCGAAATTTTTCTTAAAATTAAATGGGTTTCGCTGGTCCCTCTGTTTTACAAACTGGTCTTTTTTCAGTCACCAAGACATGCCTCAAATACTTCATATACAAATTTCGATACCAGATCATTCAAGGAGGCACGTGCAAAAACAACAATTCATGAGTTTGATCACCACAATGGCGTCAATCGTGTACCAATAGTAAGAAAACTGGTGCTACTTGAAATTTTGTTTAAGACATCTTATGACGCCCGTAGTATGCATATATAAATATATACCGCCGTCTTTAAATAATAATCAAACGAAAGGAGAAAATGTGGTCCATATATTTGGTTACATAATGTAATAGGAATATGTGTACATGTACTAGTATGATATATAGATTCAATACTTTGCGGAGGTTCTAATGTCGTTATATTCGTGGAATAAAAATAATAATAAAGGAATAAGTAACATGAGAACTTAACAAAACGAAAAACGAGAATATCATCAAGTGCTGTTTTGATAAAGCGAAATAAATTATACAACAAATAAGATAATGAAATATACTGAGGAAGATATTGTGTTCCTGGTTGACAATATCTTTGTTCAGTTCGGTGGAATAATTTTACAGCAGACTGTAGGCATTCCTATGGGAACGGGAACAAGATGTGCCCCTCTCCTGATCGATTTGCTTCTTTGCCAATTCCTTCAATTTCATATTCAGATATATTGACGATGTGCTGTCTTTGAATAATAAGAAATTCATTGACCACATCGATCGTTTATACCCTCCAGAGCTTGAAATAAAGGACATCGCAGACTTTTTTTCTTGCGCCACTTTCCTCGACCTTTACTTACAATATGACCAACAGGGACGGCTTACTATTAATCTGTACAATAATTATTATGATTTTTCGATTGTAAACTGCCAATTTTCCTTATCCATATCAACATCCCTACTTTTTACCAATGGTATTTACATGTTGCAGTTGATTCGGTATTCTATACCTTATCCGAATATCATAGCTTCCATGATAGATGTCGACTGTTGAGGGACAAACTTACAATACAGGGTTCCAAAGATACGGTCGATGAAGACTATGGACAATTTTTATTATCGCTATGAGTATCTCACATGGAAATGTGACATGTCGTTTGCGATATGAAGGTGGATATTTTGTATTTTGTCCATTAAAGTGCCGTATTAGTTTGTTGTCACTACCCGAGTTATCGATGTGAGGACGTGACATGACTCGGATTTGACTTAAATTTACATGACGGGTTCCATCGATAAATCAGAAGATGCTTACACTTCCGGTTTTTATCTTGTTGTTATTTTATATCTAAATATTATATTATACAGTGTTAAAATGTGTTGCTGGTACAAGTACTATGTTTCAAACACTACATATCTATTTATAGGTACCGAATGAAGAGACATCGATAAATAACAACATTATATCAACAGGCTACAACCCGGCGACTTGGAGCTCTGAAGGAGAGGAATACAGCTGTGCTTTCGTAAGTAAGATAGAAATTAACCATAACGTCAACATACGTATTGCAAAAGAAGATTTTATACATTTAAAATCACAATAATATTCAAACGACAAACACAAATTGTGTGTTATTGGTTAGCTTTTATTATTGAAAACTATAAAATTGCAACCTTTTCTAAAAATCAACCTTGTGAAATTTAATTATTTCGGGAACAAACAAGTGAAGGTCTAACCCTACAAAAACGGTACAGTATATTATAAAGATTATTTTTCATCTGCAACTAATAATGGCGAGGATTGCAAACAATACAATCGTGACAGTACGAAGTAATTACCAAGATATGTAAATAATGAAACATTTTTTGTTCCTTTGCTTTTTTTTAATTTACCCGTTGAAAACTTCTAGGATTAACCATTGTTAGTTTATTTGTATTTATTGTATGTCAACCTTTGAGTATCTTCAATTGTGAATGATGTAAAGTGTATATCGTTATATACATGTTCCAAAGGTGTTCCAGCCACAACTTACTGAAGCATCAAAAAGCAGACAACGAAGAGCATATGACTTTAACAAGCAAGATGAAGCGGAGTTGTCAGGAACCTTACATGAGGTAAAACAATTTTAAATCGATAGTGGCGATTTGTTGTTAATAGATATTTGGTGATATGTATATTTAATGTTTCAATTATATCATTTTTATTTCTTTATGTACAGGATCAAAAGATGTTGCAACCACAACTTACTGAAGCATCAAAAAGCAGACAACGACGAGGGTGTGATTTTAATGAGCAAGATGAAGCGGAGTGTTACAGATTCCTTGACGAGGTCGAAAATAGAATTGATAGTGGAGATTTGTTGTTAACAGACATTTGATGAATTTTATATTAAATATTTCAATTATATCCTTTTTCTTTTGCAAAGTTTATCAAATTATGTGTTTAATTTTCTACACATCCATAATTGTTGAGGGGTCGGAGGTAATAAGTAGGTTGGATAGTCTATCTGAAACATACATATATATATATTTGTCTAACCAATAAATTACTCTCCGGGAGAAACATATTATGCTTATGAGTGATAAAAACATACATAGCTACACACGTATTGCGGATTACATGTTTTAAACTCTTAATTTTAATTTATAGGTACCGTATGTAGGGACATCGGTGTATACAGGAACAAACAGTATATCAACAGGCTATTACACGGCTACTGGGAGTTCAGCGTATGGTAACACCGAAAGAGGAGAAAACAACAGTGCTTTCGTGAGTACCATAGAAACAATTTTAGCACAACGTTATCACGCGAACATGTACATGTTTTTGCGTTTATTACATTAGATAGGTACCGATATCATTAACATCATTAACAGCGTTAAGAAACACAAGTCGCTAAGAAACAACAAAACAAATTGAAAGTCACCATGTATCCACAAGAGGAATGAAACCATGTGCAACAGTAAGGTATTCTCTACAAACGTCATTTTAAACATTTCACATGTAATTCTTAAAAAGCATGTCAGTCATCAACATTGTGAAATTAATAATCATGAATTAAATGACATTACAACCTGACATCCATTGCTAGATATCCTGGTCGTTTACAAGAAAAAGGATGCACGCTTTCTTGTCTAAAACGACTACTGTATACCTCGAAAGTGTCGCTATAGCTTAATTTTCGCCTTTCCCCCCCTCCGTGATGAGGATGAATTTATCTTTACAGCAAATATGAGTGAATAACTTATCTTACATAGAAATGAAAGTTTCATGAATCATTTTTTAAAATAATGTTTCATACAAAAATGTATAGTATATATTTAAGGTATTGCACTCTACTCATATCAGCTTAGGACTTCTTCAGAGCAGATAGTCGGTGTTTTAATAGCCAGATTATTGGCGTCACTAAAGTGGTTATCTGACCATATTATGTTACAATCTTACAACACATAATGAACTTTCTAACAACTACTTTTCTTAGATGTTCAGTACTCGTAAATATGAGACCTTCATTAACGTGAAATTGCATTTATTTGTTAGCATTTCGGTGACGGTGAAAGTGAAACCCCAGGTGCAAGTGATTGTGGATACGCATCGTCAGTGTACACTGCATGTCCAGGTAGAGGAAAAACATACTCACAACATGTTCACTATCCGTTTGTTCAGTCTTCGGAGAATCGAGATATAGACACATATGGCTTCCCATCAGTAAGTACAAGTTATCGTTTTGAACTGTGGTAATAGTCTGTTCTAATTGCAAACATGTTCAAAACCACATCTAACATCAGCAATTAAAGGTTATAGAATGTGTTTAAGACTCAATATACTACATGTGTCAGTGTGGTCTGTAGTGTTTACATTGGATAAGCAAGATACAAGACTAACAAGCAAAATTAACACCACGTCATCCCTTCAAGTCTCTATAAACGATGTAATAATAATTCATAATATTAAAGTGACATAATACCAATTATTTTTGTTTACACTGTCAGATAATGTAACAGTTCCTTTTTATTACTATTATTAAACAAAGTAATTATTTTGTAATAAACAGAGCTCACATTACGACTCGCATACTCTGTGCACGACTCCAACAGAACTGGACACTGGCGATACGTATACGTGTATTGGAGCTGTCCATAGGACTCAAGATAGAAACACATTAACACACTTTTGGAGGAATGTACTTCGCCCTGTAATGTGTTTGAAATGCATCACATCCCAGGTAAGAATCATTTATGAAAAGTCGTCTTATATCAAACATTTGTCTTTTATGGGTGTGTGGATACGGTTGCCTCTCAACTTCGTTTGGTAATGAATTTGCTACTACCGATAATGTGTCTACAGAAACAAACCGATGTTACATTAAGGATAGTATGATTTGCTTGATTGCAAAACGATTAGAATGAAAAGATAAAGCTTAACGTCTTAACGACAAAAAATGGAGAAGAAATGATTTCAAATGACGCTTTTTTGTTTCTTCAGAACAAGGAAGAAGAATGTCCTCAGCCAATGATGAATACGAGGTAATCTAACAATGATATAATTTCTATAATTCTTGTTCATCAACGTCTTATATGTCGTTCTGTTCCAAACGTGTTAACCCGTTTCAACCCAAATGGTTTAAATCACATTACCATAGCATGAATAGTAAGTAATACTCTATTAAGATAATAAAGCAGTAAAGAAATAAATAATCAAACGATCTGTAATTGAATTTTCTACTTTGTTATTCCATAGCTCGAGGAATCAAGCTGGCCTGAGAAGAGCACGTCAGAAACAAAACCAGCAGGACGAAACCAACCACGGGTCACCCAGTGAAATCAACACCGATTACATCACATTGAAACTTGAAGATCCCTATGCAGTATACAGTATCGCCTAGACCGGCAACGATTTAAATTTAAGCTTTAACGGCAACTGGAAGTCAATATGTGTTTAAACAGTGGATTACATTTTTCGTTTTTGTATTCATTTACAAAAATCGCACGATACACGATCTAAAGATGAATTCATCACTTTGTGATATGCTGTTGTTTTATATATGTGTTCTGATAAATAGGTTGACTAACTCCGAAATTTGACTAAATCTTGTACCTAGTACCCATTTCTATTCTCTCGTTATTATAAATAATAGCGGAAAACGTTAAAATTGCATTGAGTAACCTTTTCAAAATGCCTTGTTCGCAGCGTGACGTCTTTATTGGCGCCAAAGATTCCGCCATTAGATCCCGAGTTGTTTGAATGCAATCACAATTTCGTTGTAATGGTAATTTTAAAATGTAAAGTTCAAATCTAATGGTTCTCATTCAATACCATATATATTTCACTTGGATGGATGACTATATCGATATTTCACTCGTGCATCATACTCGTGAAGTATTAGTATTCTGCCATACTTATGAAATATAAATGATAGTCACAGGGAGGCAATTTAATATGTTCTACGTTCACACATTGTTCGATGAGTTTTAAGGAACTGCCTTATCAGCGCTAACTACTAGGACTTCGGTAACCAAATCCCGGTCGTCTGCGTGGAAAGCCATAGTGTTATCCACCCGGTCACAATCACAATAGTTCATCTCATCGATTTTTTTCTGTTTAAATAGTGTTTTGAATAGAACGGTCTTTTTGTCGTCATTGTGTATTGTTTACGTTATAGCACAAGTTTGTACCATTATGAAGAGAGATGGATAATACAAAGTTGTGAATATAGATACGTTTTTAATTACTTTGGGAATAACTCGTCGATTGGAATTAGAAAGAGGTCATAGTTGCGAAGTTTCATCAATTGACTGTCTTAAAAAATAATGAAGTTACGTCAGAAAGGCTGCCGTTGAAAATTAAGTTTGCAATGAATGTAGAAGCCGCCTCACTGGTATATATAATTCAACATTATTCATCACAAAGTCTAATGTCTAATTTGAGTACGAACTGATCTTCAAAACTCGAAAAAAACAATTAAATAAAAGGAAAAGTAAGATACAACGTTAAGCAGCTATATAATAAACAAATATTTCAGTAAATGACGCCAGCGTAAACGATTAGCTGAATTTGAATTACATTTGTGACACTATTTCAGTGAATGTATTCTGTAATATTCCGTTAACGTTTCTCTATGTAAACAAAAGAACTGATATCCTGTCAACAGTCTCTATTTTGTCTAATTTCTTTAGATTTCGTTTTTCAAATAATAGTTTTTCAGAGAATGGTTTCCTCTAACAATTGTATGCTTTGGTTGCTATAAGGGAAACATGCAAAATATACTAGTTTCTTCTAAATTGTACACAGTAGAAGTCAAAAAGTAAATTTCAAAGGAACTTAGAGACGGCAAAAAGGGCAGCTTTTCATTTGCATTTTTTTTTGGTATGCATTATTTAACATGAAGAAAACTTTCTCAAACACATGCTATTAAACACACGCTTTCTTATAATTTGTCTTAATCAAATCAGCTTGATTGTATGTAGTATTGTCAAGTTTATTTAGATATACACTACATTTAGGACATTGACGAAACTTCGACCATACAAAGAGCTACAAATGTACCTAACACATGCATTGTAAAGTAAATTCCATTAGAAGTAGCATTTAACAAAAGTTTAAATTATTTTGAAAATGCTGTTAAGCCTTGATTGATAATTGTAAAGCTATGGTATACCGATGTCAAACAATGTATTGTTTATGCTGACTGATATATGATGTGACGCTTTGTTATTTTTATCTGAAATGTGTGATTGTCGCCGGCGACGAGAATGAGCGAAGGTACGTTTGTTATAAATACTCATTAAGAATGAATAATTGTACTTAACCAAAACATGCGTTTCCCATAGTGATAAATGTCAGTAAAATACTTAATGCTATATGTACATAAACATGAAGATATTTTACATAAACATATTTTATTATTGTATATGAACAAAATGGTGGGAGGCACATGTGTAGTGTTCCAAACGAGTACACGTCCGGAGCATCCGTTTTGTATATTTATGTTGTATCATGCTAAGTAACTTTTTATTCAAACGTTGCTTTTCCTTTTCCCAATCAATTGTTATGACGTTTTAGATAAATTGTCTTTCAGATTTAACAAGAAAGTATCATTTATTGAGTTAAACGACCCTTCGTTTTACGTCTAGTACATGCATATCTGAATGTAACAATGTAACTTCTTACAATGCCACGTTTTATTCTTACCACATATATCAATTTATTAATTGCCATGAATAATGTACGACAGACTATGTGCGCATATGTATATTTTTAACAGGCTATGCACGTGCAACGCACTTCCTAAAACTTCCCATATATTGAAAATACAAACAAGCAAGCCGAGAGCCCTGTCGAATGAAGGTGCGCTCATATAGTTTTTGTTTAGTATGTTTGCTAGTTAACTAACAAACAGTTTCTTTTCAACTTCTCTATATATTAAAATCCTGTCGTGATTACGATTAAAATATTCCGTCGGGGTTGATTTGAGGATTGTAGTACATGTAAGACTGGTTACAAAGTAGCATAATATTGAATTCAGATATGTTACAAAGTAGGATTATGTTGTGTCAAATAACAAGTGTATTGTTTGGTACTTGTTCAAAACACTTTCAGGTGAATTATTTGACCTAAAGGATGTGTTAAAGTAAAAACAAAAACAAAACAGCCATATGACAATTGATGTCCCTGTTGTAATACCTGTGTGAGCGAAATATTGGTCGAGTGCTTCGGGAAATTTGGAAGAGAGTTTAGTCTGTTGGAAAATAAAACATTCGTTTTTTGACCAATGAAAAGAATCGTCATATCGCAAACTTTGAGGTATGCCGTTATTGTATTTTCCCGGAACTAAGTTCCTTTGAGCATGGACACATCGAAATAAGGATCATTATTTGTATCTAGGCCTGCGTTGCTGGCCGTTGTTTATACATTGTAACTAGGGGTGAGAGCGGCAGTGTCGGTACCTCCGTTACACAGGTACCAGAAGTATCGATGAAGCTTCAAGACT